TATGCATATATGGTGACATAATAATAATAATAATAAATTTTATTGTAAATTATTCCATTTTTTTAAATTTAAATGCTGTAATTTCTGTTAGATTCTGTTTTTCTTTGTAAGTTTGATATGGTCCGTTTTTGGTTTCAGTTTTATATGTTTTATTCTTAATTTTTTTATTATTTGGAGAACATTTTTTTATATTTTAAGAAAGTTAAAATTTTATTATATTTAATAAATTTAAAGTTTAAAATGTAGAGAAAACGTATGAAATATTTTTTAAATCAATGTATACCATTATAACGGAATAGAAGTTCGGATATATAAGAAGTGGTAGATGATGATTTCTGGAAAAGCGTGTCAAACAACTAAATTTACAAACATATAATTGCTACAAGAAGAACCTGTTTAATATTTTTATATACAAAACAGGTTATTTTAAATTATACATACTGTATTTATAATTAAACCATTTATAGATAGGCATAAGGCACAACTCGACACGAATAGAACAAATTATGCAATATAGGAAAAGTTAACTCCTAGTTTAATTTGGCTGAATTTCAATGGAGTGACAATCGCACCATTTTATTTAGATATGGGTGTATGATTTGGAGCCCTTTTTGAAAAGTTTCTGGTATCGTGGAGGGTCGACAACCTCTTCATCGTCACCAAACGAGGTAAAGAGGACAGACATTCGGGCCAATCGCCTTTCTCGGCCTCAAGAGAAAACAAGCTTACGAGCAGTAAAGAACCAAGTAGCCTCCAATGTCCCAATTCGTGATCAAAATTTAGCCCGAGTCTGCTAACACCAGACAAACAGGTTTCGCGCACTCACCATGCATGACTCCTGCTATAACTTAGTCTGATAAAACAGACAAAAAAGATTATCTTGGATTCTTTATTGGCTTTATATTAAAACTTAAGAAAATAGTTATCTGACCTCTTTCTAATATAGATTGTTCTACATGGATGAAGACATAAAGATGTTCTAAATGAATGGTAGTTGAGTCATTGTGTTCTCTAAACAACTAATTTTGATAATCACACTTTTTAATCAAATTTGTTTTATATAAAACGAATTGATTTTAAAAATAATTGTCGTGCACATTTAAGGAAATTTCTTCATAATAAATGTTTTTTTTTCATTATTTTTTATGGTGCCATCGCACTGGACTGTTGCTTCTTCCTCCTTCCTTCTATTGTTTCCATCAAGAACAATTTACGAATTTTAAAGAGATAATAAACTTATATGTGATTTCTATAAAAAAAACACGCAAATTTTATTTTATTTGATTTTAGTTTGGGCCGTATCGATTGTCAAACGTCAAGTAGCCAGTGATACGCAAAATGATGCAGAATTATGTAAAGGACGTTCACCAAGCGAATATTTCCGTTTGACACAAGATGAAGACTGCAGAGATGTAGTTAGATGTTCTGTTCAGGGTCTTTTGGCTCTCCGTTGTCCATCTGGCTTGTCTTTTGATATCGAAAAGCAAACATGTGACTGGAAGGCCAACGTGAAGAACTGCGAACAATTAGAGAGTAAGTAGATATGAGATCACAGAGTATCATTGCGACCTAGATATAACTTGTATAATTAATTTCTATCTCGTTTGTTGCAGAGCCTCGTCTAGCTACTCCTCTGTTGGCCACAGATGAACCTGTTTGCGAAAAAGGAAAACTTGCCTGTGGTAACGGAGAATGTATAGAGAAGAGTCTCTTCTGTAATGGATCGCCAGACTGTCCCGACGGTTCGGACGAAAATGCTTGCAGTAAGTAGTTTCGAAATTGTATTTTCATTACTTTTTGAAAGTTGAATAGAAATTAATTAAACTTTTTCTTCTTAAGCTGTTGATAAAGATCCAAACCGGGCTCCACCATGTGATCAGAATCAGTGTGTCTTACCCGATTGTTTCTGTTCCCCCGATGGTACCCAGATTCCAGGCAAACTAGAACCTAATACAGTTCCTCAGATGGTAACTATTACATTTGACGATGCCGTAAATAACAACAATATCGATGTGTATGAAAAAATCTTCCGCGAAGGCAGAAACAATCCCAATGGATGTTCTATCAAGGGTACTTTCTTCGTTTCCCATAAATATACCAATTATTCAGCTGTGCAAGAATTACATCGTAAAGGACATGAAATTGCTGCACATTCAATTACGTAAGTTAACTCTCATATTTCAATTTGTGTAATATACTTCCTGTTTGTAATATTCATTTTGCTAAACTTCATTATGTAATTCTTACACAGGCATCGTAGCGACGAAAAATACTGGAGTGAAGCAACTGTAGATGCTTGGGCAAAAGAAATGGCGGGTGTTCGATTGATCATCGAAAGATTTGCAAATATCACAGATAATTCAATCGTTGGTGTTCGAGCACCTTATCTGAGAGTTGGAGGCAATAATCAATTCTCTATGATGGAAGAGCAAGCTTTCTTATATGATTCCACCATTACAGCTCCATTAAGTAACCCTCCCTTGTGGCCCTACACATTATATTTCCGCATGCCACACAAATGTCACGGTAACGGACAAAATTGCCCCAGCAGATCTCACGCTGTTTGGGAACTAGTTATGAATGAATTGGACCGTAGAGATGATCCTAATTTCGATGAAGAGCTCGCAGGTTGTGCTATGGTAGACAGTTGCAGTAACATTATTTCCGGAGAACAATTCTATAATTTCCTCAATCATAATCTCGATCGTCATTACAAAACCAATCGTGCTCCCTTAGGTCTCTTCTTCCACGCTGGGTGGTTAAAACTTAACCCAGAATATTTAGATGCTCTCATCCAATGGGTCGATGAAGTCCTGGATAAAAATGATATCTACTTCGTTACCATGACACAAGTGTTGCAATGGATGCAACAGCCCACAGAATTGTCCTCTATCCGTGATTTCGCATCCTGGAAAGAAAAATGTGACGTTAAGGGACAACCATATTGTAGTTTACCTAATGCTTGCCCATTGACCACCCGAGAATTGCCAGGAGAAACCATCAGACTTCATACATGTTTAGAATGTCCACAGAATTATCCCTGGTTGGAAGATCCCACAGGTGATTACTTCGCTTTCAAGAAATAAACTTTGAAAGAGCAGCCATCTAACTTATCTCCTAAACTGGTGGTTGTGTTTTAATAACTGTTCTTAAAAATATTCCTAAAAAAATACGGCATGTTAAAGCCGGAAAGACAGATATCAGAGTTATCCACAAGTTAATATATCCATCCCGATTTTTTTTAATTTTAAATTCTGCTTTAAACAATTCATACAAATTTCTGCTGGAGTATTATTGTACCTTGTATATTTGCCGCTTCACTGATAAGACTTTTCTATTCAAAATAAATAAATAAATAAATAGCGGCTAAAGTAAAAATCGTGTGTAAAAAAAGCAAAAACGTGAAGTTAAATTCTGTAATATAATTTTTTGTTTTATTGTATTGTGTCGTCTGAATGTGATGCACGATTCATGTGCAGCATTTTAAAGTGGCATAACATCTAAGCCAATATGGAAGTGTTCCATTCATTCTAGTAATAAAGTTACAAAAAATTTTGATGTAGTATTTACTATTTTTAATCTTAAAAAAGAACAGATTTTAAACAAAGAAAGTTTAAGAATATTACAAGGTTATATACACAATTTTGAAATGACGGTTTTTCAAATTTAACCAATCGTAACTTCAAAAGTTAAACGTGGTTTCGCGTTGTTGCTTTCGAGTATGATAATTAAGAAAGAATTTCTCGCTTAAACCTATTAAGATTGAAAAAACATACACATTTCTCATAAAGGCAAACTTTAATGTCGTTTTCTCTTAAATAGTACTTATTACACCGTGGAAAAAAAAATTTTAGAAGAACGTTCGGTAGTAAAAGTTATGAAACAAAAGCAGATAACCTTTTACAACGGGAAACCCTACTTTTAAACACTACTTTTTTTTTTACTATTTTTTTATTATTTTGCTAAACATTTTTAACAATAAAGTAAGCAATCCTATCGTAAACTCTCCTTTATTGATATTTTCCTTTATTTTAGGAAATATTCTATAATAAACTGTGGGAAGAGTTTCAAAACTAATATAGTTTTAAATAAAAAGTTCATACAAAACAATATAAATGTATTTAAGCGAAATTTTTGGAATTATTTTAAGTAAAAAAATAATCATATTCTATTATAAAATTGATTAATATTTTATTAATAACTTAATAATCAGTTAACGTCTGAAATAATTAATATTAATTACTAGTTTAAAATGCTTTTAAAAAGCAATAACAGTTTAATTGTTATTTATTTATTCGATTTTCATTCGGATCATTCTCTAATCCTGTATTTTTTCGTTGTTATACGGTAAAGGTTAAAGTTTTGGGCGTGTGTGTATGTGTCGTGTGTGATCTAGACCAGACAAGTATTACCTGTCTGGTGACTGAGTAACAATCAGTTGATTCTAATCAAGTTTTAGAGTCATGAACACATTATTACTTTTTTTTATTTAAAAATATTTGTTTTAAATAAAACAATTGATTTCAGTATGCAATCAAACCTTCAAATCTTATATATTTACTTTATACTGCCGACAATTGTATAGACTGGTTTGTGGTTCTGACTTTAAGAATTTACATTATGATATCTTCAATGCTTGTATTAATTATTGCTTTGAAATTTTTCTAATAATAATTATTTAAATTATTCTAGTTATGTATTTTAAAGATATATTTATGTTAAAATTATTTTGAATAACTCCCATTCATCTATTGTACGTAAAAAAAAAACTTTATTAATATTCAGTATGTATGATTTATCTGTTCGTATTTTTGTTAAAAATGAATAAATATCTATTATTATACTATGAAAAACAAAATTATCATTTTACTTTTCTCTTGGCCTATGTAATTTGCTTATAGTATCACGACTTAGATGACATAAATCTACCAGAAACAAGCAATGAAACTCTATGTAGGACATCACAACTATATACTTATTAACAATAAAATGATACATTTGCTTATCAAGAACAACTCTTGTAAAGCAAACCAACATTTTTTCGTTTTTTAATACGTATATCATTCAGCATTAATATGTTACGTTGAAGAATTCATAGATTATATATTCACATTAAAATTATCTTCATTGATTACATATTGATGATTAAAACGTTGAACACCAACTGTTTCTTCTAAACATTCTTAGCCTTCCGTTCATCCATCCATGCAAATATTCATTCAAATTGCCAATGATAGCTTCCTTTCTTAAGAGAATATAAAAGTGTTCTCTTAAAGAAAAGTTTCCAATGTTGGCAATAGAGAAACAGAGAATAAAGCATTAGAAATATTTATGTAACTTATTAATAAGCTGGATAATAATGGATAATTAAGGAGTTCCAAACCAACCATTCTAAAGTTCAGAATAATATTGTTCACAATGAATAAGATATTATTAACTATAAGCAGGCCTATCAATGTTTTGGAATTAATAAATTATGTTATCAGTATTTGGGTATTGAAAACGCTTATTAATGTCAAATTTACAATAGATAATTTATTATAATTCAAACAGTTTATTATAATACATACAATACATAGCCTTGGATAAATTGGGCAAATATATTAAGACATCAATAAATATATGTACCCAATAAACATTTCATAAAAATTAAATTTAGCCTTGGAGTTCAACTTGTTTGTTATAAACCAATTAAAAGAAGGTTACTTAAATTAGAATTTTAAAAAAACAGCGGGAAAAAATTTAAAAATTCACATTATCTCTTATGCTAAGGGTAATTACCTATTTTTGTTGTCTTAGAAATAAACATAGTGATTTAGCTATAAAGAAACATTAGGTCATCAGAACTCGGTACTACAGTTACACAATTGATCCAGGTTATTGAAGCATGGTTACGTAAAAACTACTGTAAATACAGTTCCGGTTTAAGTGTTTTATATGAAACCATTGTTACCAAATTTTAAAAAATTGTTAATGGAACTAGAATAATAATTTTTTGCCTGAACTTCAGTAAAGTCTATACTTATATGTGTATATATATATATATATATATATATATAAACAGTATAATGCATTCTAGCAACGGAACCACCATATTTAGTCCGTTTTACTCTATAAATTTTACAGTTCCTAGTTCAAAATGACTATTTATTTATGTAGCTTGTCCGGCAGTTACGCAAGATGTTTTACTTAGCAGGATGTTTTAATGCTAAATATTACAGTGATGAATATTCAAAAATAAAATAGTAATAACTGGATTAAATATGGCGGATTTGCGGCGTGCAAGCTTTTCGAACAGATGCAACACTGCATATTTCATTCTAGGAAGTTTAATGTTTAATCCTGCCATCTGGTGATAATAAAAATAAATAAAATTTGTTTTTTTCCACGTTGTTTCTTAAATCCTGAATTATCTTTTCTATATTCTAAGTTTATGTAAGATTCTTGTAAGTAATGACAGTGTTTAAATATATCTATTTATTTTTAAGTATTGTTAATTTTTTTAAAGTACCTAATTACCAAGCAGTCTGCATTTTTAGGAATGTTGAAGTTTATACTTGGAATGAACCAGGAAATTACAAACTTTTGACCTAAATATAATATAAAATTTATATATTAAAAGTTTACTTTCAGTAATTTGCATGCATCAATTTTTCATATTTTAAATGTTTAGAAATGATTTAAAATTATTTATTTATTTACTTTTAATTTAAAAAAAAACATTATAAAATATCTTTATTAATTTGAATAATTTTTAAATATAAAATTTAGCAGTAATTTATTTTTTAAATGTTATTTTCTCTAAACGAGTCAACAATCTATAAACTAATGATAGAACAGTCAATGGTCTATAGAAATTTTTCCTTATTTTAAAGATGTATACAGGTATTATATAAATACAAGGATCTGATAGGAAAATTAATTTTAATTTCTCCATTTATACAATGAGAAGAGGAAAACATTTCAGGAAAAGATAAATCAAAGAACTAAATAATTATGTATTAAAATATATATTTAAAAATGAATATATAAAATTCTATTATTTGTAGATTGTTAAAAGCATTAAAAAAAAAATATATATATATATATACATACTGTATTTGTGAATTTTTTTAGTTTGGTGTAAAGATTAATGAAGCAAAAACAATTTTTTTTCTAGATAGATGAAATTTGATAGTTTGGGTATTAAAAACTAAGTAGATGATTTTACACCGTGATTGTTACCTGATAATAGTGGTGCCTACAGACTATGAAAAAGGGGCCACAAGCTATAAAAAAAAAAAGGGCATTGTACATTATGCAAGGTGCTTCAAACTCTGATTCAACATTGGATCAGTGCTCCTACAAGGAGGTGCTGGTTACACTTGGGCTAACTTGGCCTTGAAAACAAGGAATTGTGTTTGGTCAACATACGTTGAAGTTGCATAGGTCAATGGGCAAATATTTTCTGTTTGGGGCCCCCTTGAGGATTAAGAAAAGGCCAACTGAGATGAAAAGGGGAGCATGTGCCCCAATGTATGGTACCATTGTATGCTAATGATGATATAAATGTTTACCTAGATATATGGTATGACAATATATTTATTCCTTTAGGGCCTAAACATGCATTTAAATATATTTTTTTATTTCTGTTGTAATTTAAATTACTTGAACATTTGAAATGATATGACAATTTCCAACCAAAAAAGTAAAAATAAAACTTTAGAATGAAACATTATAACAAGTTTGAGAAAAATTACAATAGAAAATAATCCAAAAGGGGAAAAAATATGAGATAGGACAAAGCAGGGGAAAAGACTGAAAATGATAATGACAACTTAACCCAATTTCTACTTATGATGCTAATTTTGACTCCCAGTATCTAAGTGTGAAAATAAGTGTGCTAACTGGTTAAATTTCTGAATGTTTAAGATTTATTAATATTAAACTAACAATGGAAAAATTTAAATGCATAATTAATTATATATAAATAAATACAAGCACATTTTTGCTTTTATGAAATTGTTTTAAGTCAATGATCTCTCTCAAAGGAACGTTTCAATAAAATTATAGTATTAAATGGAAGTAAAGAACAATTTTGATTAAAAAATATATTTAAATCTTTCAGAATTTAAGTTCCGTAAACTATTTTTGGATTTTTTATACAAAATTAAATATTTTTAGTATTGCATCTGTTTATCTATTTTCCAAATGTTTCTAATTTAATTTTCTAAATAATAATACTGATTAGAAATAAATAGATGCAAATTAAATGCGTGTTTAGGAAATTTTGTTCAAATTAGAATTTGGTAACTTATTAAATCTGAAATAAAGCTAAAAAATAAATTTGATTTTGTTTTTAGATTTACTAATGAATTTTAATCACTCAGTTAAGAATAATAGATAGATCTTTCATTCGTAGTAAGCTATTCTTCCATTGAATGAATTTAACATTTTATTCATTCAAGAATGAACTTTAAATTTGATTATAGGCAGACCCAAACTTTCCAGACATAATGTGTTTCTAAAAATGTGTAGAAAAGTCCAATAATAAAATTGCATGTTATAAAAGGAGTT